ATGTCTTTGCTGGGGAATCGTTGACTAGCAGAAGGTCTCTTGTTGTTGTTCAGGAAAGAATCAGATTCCTTTGATTCGTACCATATTGGCTTGTCATGGTTCTTAGGGGGCTGAATATCCACAGGACCGCTGGCCTCTTGCTCGGCAAGTTCCTCTTGTCTCTGAGCAAAGATATGAGCTGGGGTTTTAGGACGATCCATTGCGGATGATCGTCGTCGAGGCTCCTCTGTCTGCTCTGTCTGTTCCGCCTGATCAGGTGTCGAAACCTCAACAGTGAAGTGCACGCTGTCCGGGGCATCCTCCCAAATGTCCTTGCTAGGGAAATAGTGTCGTGCCTTGTTGCCAGGTGCTGGCTTCTGAGCTTCCTTCTTACCCTCTTCAGGGAAAAGAGGCTCATATTCTTCCACGTCGTCCAGAGAAGTGGGAGCAAATTCTTGAGAGTCATTGTTCTTATAGATGCTGGTGGGTCTGCTCTTGGGTCTGCTAGACCTGCTCAGAGGTCGGCTTGTTGGTTCCTCCAAGTCACCGCTACCTCGACGGTCAGCGGGAGGATGAACAGCAGGACGCTGGCTGTAAGAAGAATCATCATGCTTGACTTCGTCGGCAGCCAAAATGGGTGCAGTGTATTCATGGTCCTCCTCGTCTACAGCAGGATCCTCGTTACCATACGAGCGGTACTCTGGGTGCTTAGGATCGTCAACGTGCACAGTATGTTCACCATCGGGGCCAGTGATCTCCGACTTGAATGACAGAGGCTGAACCTGGCCTTCATTGGTGGAAGCGGGTCGGGGAGAAAGGCGAGAAGTGTATTCTTCACTGGCCTGGAAGCCAACTTCATCAGTAGGCGTAGCCTGATAACCAGATGTGCCTGTATCTCATTAGCTAGTGCGAGCACAAGTTTATTCGCAACTTACCTAAGCCGGCGCCACGAGATCGAGTGTCTCTGACCAGTTTGTTCAGGTCATCCTTGCTCATGGCAAAGTCATTTTGACGATCATGTAGAGGAGTTTGATGCTCCCTCTTAAGGGCTTCAGGATGCTTCTCGTAGTATTCCTTCTCGAGTTTGTCCAATGGCGCAACACCATGGCCGTGCAGGCCGTAGCTACCTGGGGGTCCACCACGAGAGCTATGCTTGCGGTGGTGGTGCTTCTTGAATTCCTCAGACCCAGGGCCAGGCGAAGGGGCCTGAACGTCACCAAGATGAGGGTTCATGGGCACACGCTGGCCGATTTCGGGAATACCATGCTCATCTTCCACCTCAGGACGGCCATCACTGACCGATACATTGGTGCTGGACTGCTTCTTGTTGCCCTGTGTAGATCCAGGGCGACCAATGCCAAATTGTGCTGCCTTGTCGGAGTCGGTGCGGGTAACAGCCTGGACACGCTGCTTGGCGCTTTGCGCTGGCAGGGAAGGCTTGGGCGCATGAAGCTTAAGGTCCTCCGCAATGGTACGTGTTTGTTCGGGTGACGCAGCTCTGTTGTCCTCATCGACCTGGACCTCGTCAGGCTTGACTTCGTGGGTCACGGCACTGTACTCGGCACCCTCCTGGCCAATCGAAGGCATTGAAACGCTGGTCGGGCGGTTGATTGGGTCCTGGTGAGCATCGTTGGGGTTGAATCGGGCAGAGATGGGACTCTTTTGAGGAATGCCCTCGTTGAAAGGTGAGGGAGCGAATCGATCGGGATTGGGAGATATCGAGCGGTCAAATCGTTTCGATGAAGGACGAGGTGGAATCTTGGGAACATTGCCCGGGGAATCGTTCTTGTCCTGGCCCTTAGCCGGGCGGGGAGGAATAACGGGAGGTTGTTGCATGGCGGCAGCGGTCATTGTTGATATTTAGATGCTCGGAGGAGCGATTATAGAAAGTTGACGAAACAAAACAAGAGAGGTAAGTGCAGGTTTCATGTAAGACGGGCTGTGTGATGATAATCTGGGGCGACCAAGGAATGGTCAATACTAAACAATTAGTATAAGTTCGAATAACAATTGTAGAACCAAGGCAATTGGAAGCTATAGCACGAATTGGAACTTATCCGTGACAGGGGCATAGACTGGTATTTAAAGGCATTTGTTGGCCTCGATCCCAGTCTAAAGTCCCATCAACAAGATTCCGTCCATCCATGTGCCCGTGCCGTGCCTGTAGGTTGTACCTGTTGCCGGTTCCAGCTGAGGTACGGTACTGTACTGTACTGTACAGTGCTGGACCAGCCCCTGGGCTTATCGGATCCACGGTTCACGAGTTAGAGGCGCCGCCTGTGAATGGATCCATTGCTATCAGAAAGCGATAGAAATCCAATGCCACATACAGGCACACCCTGCTGCGCCCACCAAGTGTTGCGCCCGTCGCACACCGATTGATTGATCTTTTGCTCAGGGACGAAGAAACTTACCAATGGGGTTGCCGTGATTGGTATTGATTGGCCCAGGCACAAGCAGTGCAGATATATGTAGTATAGTTCAATACTAACAACCGGCTTTGGTTGGGGATTTGAGGTGTCAGATAAGACGAGACGAGATGTACAAAAGCTATTAAGTGCGCATTTTCAAGCTGGCAGTGGGCCTGACTAGATCAGTGTATTTATATTCCAGACTCTGGCCTCAATACATACGATACAAAATGGAACGTCCAGGTGACAGGAAGTGCCACCGGAGCTGCTGGTGACTTTTGCTCGTCGTCACTGGTTGTGAAAACAGGGATGGCGATGGCGCCAAGTCGGACGGTGCGAGGCGTTTCTGATCCACACTGTAGCTAGATCGTGGATTGTTTTGAAGAGTTGAAAAGATGGAGAATGCAAAGAGGCTGCTCTATTCTCGACGATCTTTGAGCGGGAGCCTCGATTCAGTTTTCAGCTGCAATTCGTGTATTCTACTCATGTCAGAGCACGAATTGAGTACATTTTATAACCTCATCCCATCGTTGACCTCTGTTCTGAAGCTTACCTCAGAGCGTTCCAAATAAAGCATTTTCGTCACTTGCATGGCCCTGGATACAGTGCCCCCCGCATAACTACCTATGATACCACAGTCCAGTCCCATGGAAGTCCCTGAATCTGTCTGTCTGTGTACGGTTCCATGAGTCTATGGTTGTCCTTCTGTCCAATCCCATTGTTGAAACTTGAGACGCGCGGTGCGACAGCCAAATCAATGCAGGTGCTCGTTTCTGTCTTGAAATTATGCATGCAAAGGTAGGTAGCTTTGTCGTTTGGTGGTCAAGATATCATCATAAGGAAGAACCATAGGTACCTTAGTAGGTAACCAAGGTACCTTACTCACTCGGAGTCTTTCTCAACAGCTCGCTCCCGCCGACCCGCCATAGTTCATCATGGCGGGGATCTCCTGCAGTCTATTCCCCACCAACCGATCGATGCTGCAGCCGGCTATTTTCTTCCTGTTGACGCTCCCGTCCATAAGAGGTCAGAAGAATGACGCTTACTCGACGGCGTGCTACTGGACGGTACGGTGAACAAACCTGACGGTCGCCTGACCAGCTGGAACGGAGCTATCAAACCATGCATTGCAAGTGAAAACGTTGTTGGTAAGAGACCACGAGCCCCTTTGTTCCTACAAAATACTATGTAATGTACTGTTCAGGGACAAGTATGTACTATCGTGGTCTCCGAGGAAAACTGGAGTCTCGAATTGGATCAGCTAACAAAGGCCAATGACGATCTCGTTGTTTTGAGATTCTAGACTTCTTCTTTCAGCTTCTGTGTTGTTGTAAAATAGAAGTAGAAGCAAAGGCTGGTGTCAATGATCGCCCGCCTGTGATGGAAAAAACTTTGTTTCCCCTGGACATCTTTCAGTATCACGATCCTCCAGTCGAATCACAACCCGTCTGGCCCCTCCACCCTGTACATGATGCCATCAGACCAAGAAGTTTTGCGCAGCTGTCCCAAAAGGTCCGTTCTGACGCCATCTCCGTAACCAGAGCTCCAGTTGACCGGTCCGGCTACCCTAGACATTGCAAAACTCTTGTATCGTGTTGAGCATATGGCCTTGTAGTGTTCTATGATTCATTTTATAACCGTATCGGTTTGTCCTTAAGCGTGTTAAAGAGGAGCACTGGTTTGGTGGAACGCCATGGCACGAAGCTCGTTGGCGTGAAAGCAAGCAAAATTCTTTGCAGCATCCGTATGGACGTCAAAGAGGTCTCGAATCGAGCAAATGTCGAGTTCGTTCAGCCATCAACCAAATCCAAACTAGCGCCCATCAGAAGGACCTGGGTATCATATCACGAGGGAATCAGAGCTTTGAGCACGACCTTCCACAAGTGCTCCTTGTCTAGAATACGAACACTGGGTTTCCGTCTTTGATATGCTGCTAATTTGAGCACATTGCAGTTCTTATCACATGATGAACATGGGTGAATAGCCACATTGATATGGCGGCGATCCCAAGAGGTATCAATAGCTTTCTAGAAATACTATTCGTAGCCTTCGGGGGGCAAGAAAACGCCGGACCTTGATATGAGGCATCAAAGAAACTCAGCAAAAGACATCCTAAACTTATGTAAAGTTACCTAAGTCTTTTTGTCATTTAGGATTAAGGTCTTGGGTTTTCTTTCCTCCCCTGGACAGCATAGAACGGTATCTGCCAGTGGGCAAATGTATCGAAGCAGCACCAACATCGTCACAGTACGATCTGGTGAGCAGAAATACAAGAAATGAATTCGAATTTTAGCGAAACAACTTAAAATAACGCAGTCATTGAAACTCGTTCACGAAATGGCATCAACTTCAATCAAAACATGAGCCGTTCCTCATCCCAGACGCCAAATCCAGCTGGGTATACAGGCCGCTGCTCTTGGCAGGAACCTAAATCGTCGAGATAAGCAGATTTTCCATCATCACCACCGTCCTCCTGCACCTGCGAGCTATGGAAAGCCTTAGGTGCCTCCTGTATTCGGCGAACGCCACGGTGCAATGTGTCAACTTGAATAGTGGTTCGTCCGCTTCGTGGTCGAGCCACGAAATTGGTCGGGCTGGCAACTGACGAGTCTACACAATCATCTGCGCGACACCCTGACCACCGAGGGTCTTGCTGCCGACAAAGGCCTGGCCCTTGATACCGGCAAGCAGGTAGCAAAGAGCAGTCAGTAGCAGGAAGACAGCAGCGGCAATCAAGCTGCTTGCACCGCTGACATTGCTAATGAACTGCAGAGCAGACATGACGCCGTAGGCGGCTGCGCGCATATAGTTGGTCGAGATCTTGCGAATCGTCTCATCGAACTTGCCGGAGGTTGGGCAGATTCGGAGAAGAAGAGGGACCTCGATGAAAAGAATGACAAAGGCCGATGCGCTGTGGATGGTTAATATCGATGCTTCATCATGACATGTATAATTCTTACATAGCAAAGGCGCAGAAGATAATGCGAACTACATTAAACGAAAAGATGTTGGCGATTCCAACAGCTAGACAGATGATCATGGAAAGAATTCCAAGCCTACGCACAAGTAGTGTTAGTCGGTCGTTACATCGTAGATGATTCGGTATGGGTCATGTCGCAAAGTGGCTTAACAGGTCAATAGCTATGATTGAAGCTGTATACGGCCGAGGATCGTTAGCCTACCATTGTCCGTAGATGCCTACACGAATATTAGTATCTCCTACAAAGCGCAGTCAATCGAGAGCGACATACTGAAGTTTCGCGTTTGGAACTCCTCCTTGAGCGTCATCTTGCCAGCTTACGTCGAGCTTTCGTATTCGGGCTTGGAGCAGCCGAGGAAGAAAGTGGCTGATGTTTTCTAAGAGACCAATTCGAGATTGTAAATTAATTGCAGTAAAGCGTAACGAGAAATATCGATTGTTGCGACGGCGATGGAGACTTAGTCGAGAGGTGGAGAGTTTGAATTGTTGTGACGACGGGGATGCGAAGTTTGAAATGATGAACGTAGCCTCTTCGTCAGGTGTAGGTATGGTGTGGTTGCTGAGGTAGTCCCCAATTTTGATTGAGGCTGGTGCAGGGTCAAAGGGCTTGGCTCCAAGTCTCGATACGGACGGGCGAGTTAATGGAAGGGCAGGCGAGTGGATGCTCCACGGGGCATTGGCTGTTTTGTGTTTGTAGGGGAACGGGTCCTGTAACGAGGATGATGGTGCACTGTTGATAGTGGATAGTGGAGGTCGAGTTGGCGAACATGAGACAAAGGGTTTTGGTTTCGAGTCTCTGGGTCTGCTGAGACGCAACCAAGAGGCTTTTGTAGTCCTTGTTTCTTTTCTTTTCTGACTTTGTGCTGTCTTGCTTAACATGTATTCACTCTCTGTTTAGGCAACTCTATTCTCTGCATAGCCAAGTGACGTACGTTGACCACGCGGCATCGCCAAGCCTCGCCCAGAGTGAAGCGGAGTTGGTTCTCAAATGGTGTCTTTCACAGAGACAATTGCCAAGTTTATTAATGACAAAGCTCAGTCGGCCAGTGGATGCTTTGGAGCTCCACGGATTCGTATTCGAAGACATCAACTCGGAGGTGAGGGTATATTGAGATCCAAGCACCCTTCAAAAGCTGTATTTTAAGCCCACGAATCAACACTCAAGGTTCATGTATACCCAGGTATTGTGGTAGGTAGCCATGAATCGACCATACTCCAGACTTTAGAGACCAGCTGTAATTTTGGACTTTACCTCTCGAAGTTTGTGATGCTATAATAAGCACAAGACTGACTTCATGCTCTGAATATTATCCCTTGGTTTACTTTCATAATTAGCGTTCTATAGAACTATATTGACCAGCTACGGATGCGTGACAATCGATCAACTTCAGTCATGTTACACGAATAAGCGAATCCGTCATCTAGACCTACCCCAATCGAGCTATTCTCACAGGAATAGCCTCAATTCAGTCCTGCCAACAACACTCAACTAAACGTTCCGTGGCCTGCACGATCGTACCTTATTCTTACCACGTGTTGAGGTGGAGTGTTTCCTCCCGTAGAAGATCCGGGGACCTGCCAAAGTTACCTATAAATAAGCTCTACACCATTACATCATCTTTAACACGCATCAATTCTGTCTTTGTAGCTTATCAAGCAACACTCATTGGTCTCTAGCCCATGATCTGACTGAAAGTCAAGCAAACAACCCGCGAACCACCAATTGCACAAACTGCCTCATTGCGAGCTCCCTGCTATTAATACCTCCTACATTCCGGAAAGTCAGTCCAGTGAATGAAGCCTCACGAAAAATGACTTACACCGTTCTGTCAAACGACCAGGTTAACTCCATCCTGGAAGGTCTTACTGTTGACGAGCTTGATGAGTTCCGCCATGTTCTGGCTTCATCCCTACACGAATTCTCTACCGGAGTGCCGGCTCTTGAGGAAGCCTTTCAGCAGCCAGAACGCATCTCAACACTACATCCAGAGACCATGGCTAGGACATTATATATGCCCTCATGTGCTCCGTGTGGAATGGGCTGCAAAGGTGAGACTTCTTCTCACAGTATAGACGAATCAATCTAACCAATAAGTAATTTCCTTGACGAGTACGGAAGCATCCCAGGATTCCAGGGTTACACAGATCAGTCCTACTGGTGTTCTCAACCTGTTCCGGCCAGATGGATCACCACTTGGAATCGTCAATGCAACAGCTCTCACAGCATTCAGAACAGCCCTGGCATCTACCTGTTTGTTGGAGCGCCGCAATCATGTCAAGACCTTGACAGTATTTGGCAGCGGTCTTCAGGCTTACTGGCAGATCCGGCTTGCCCTGATGATCCGCGGCAGTACTATTAAACACGTTCATGTTATAAACCATAGGTGGAGCGATAAAGCGACCGGAATTCTGAAGAGATTCGCCAGTATCCCTCCTGAGATTAAGAGACGAGAAGGTTGGTCGGACACCAAGTTCGGTCTCCTGATCCCCGCGTTCCACGAGTATCGACGCCTCATAAAAGATCAGATAAGGGATGCAGATGTGATCTATTGCTGCACAGCCTCGCAAAAAGACCTCTTTGATGGATCTATCTTAACGTCTCATGAGGGCCGCAAGAAAGGAAGACTAATCATTGCTGTTGGAAGTTATACACCAGAAATGCGGGAGCTTCCAAATGACCTTATCCAGCTAGCAGTAAAGAGGGAGGACAAGCCTCATCGACATTTCCACAAGCATGCAGTCGAAGGCGGAGTCATCGTCGTTGATAATATCAGAGGCGTGCTCAAAGAAGCAGGCGAGATTATTGCTGCCAATATTGGGCCCCACCAACTTGTAGAGTATGTGCTTATCCATCCTCTCTCAACAGTCACTGACATCAATGGCAGGCTGGGGGAACTCGTGATGCTCCATCGTCTAGCTATAGAGGAGTCCGACGGATTCTCCAGCAGTCAGGCATCTTTCTCTTCTGACATGGATAAGCTAGATATCCATGGTAGGATGAGCTCCATGTCCACGGTCTATGGCAGCGGAAGCAATGCCAGTGACCCCCCGACCAGCCCTACAGGTTCAGTCGATTCAGAAGGGCGCAGATCAAGCTCCTTTTTCCATTCAAGAAAGAACTCCAGTACCTCTCTGGACAAAGAAAAGAGAAAATCAGAGGACCACCTCTGTCGTTGGTTGAGGGACGGTACTGTAGTATACAAGAGTGTCGGGCTTGGACTGATGGATCTCGTGGTGGGAACACATCTCATTGAGGTTGCAAATGAGAAGAATGTAGGAACTCGTATAGAAGGATTCTAGAAAGGATAAATCGAAGTAAATACTAAATGCTCTTAATACATGCTGTGAATATTTGTACACAAACTCTACTCGGCAACCCAGATGGCGGCCATACCCATACCAGTTCCTACACACATAGATGTTGCGCCAACCTTTTGGCCTGTTCGCTTCAACTCATATAGGAGAGTAGAGACCTGTCGGGCACCAGTGCAGCCTAGGGGATGGCCAAAGGCAATAGCACCTCCCTTGGGGTTGATCTTCTCTTGGGGAATACCCAGCTCGTTGGCACACCACAAACACTGACTGGCAAAAGCCTCGTTGATCTCCCAGATATCGACATCATCCTTGGAGATACCGGCAAGGTCGAGAGCCTTGGGGATAGCCTTCCAGGGGCCCTGTCCCATAAGAAGGGGCTTGACACCGACAATCGAGGCGCAAACGTACTTGCCGAGGATTTTCTGTCCAAGCTTCTCGGCAGTAGATCGCTTCATGAGGAGGACAGCGGCAGCACCGTCGGAAATCTGACTGGCGTTACCAGCATGGATAGAGCCGTCCTTGGCAAAAGCAGGGCGGATCTTGCCCAGAGACTCAGCAGTGATGCCATCACGGACACCATCATCCTTGGAGACGGTAATCTCCTTGGTGTTACCCTCCTTGTCCTCGAACTTGACCTTGAGGGGAGCAATCTCCTCGTCAAAGAGTCCTGCTTTTTGGGCCTTGACGGCCTTCTGGTATGATGAGGCAGCGAAGGCGTCCTGTGCAGCTCGGGTGACGTTGAGGTCCTTGGCCATCTGCTCAGAGAGGACACCCATGGGCACCTTACAGTTGGCAGCCTCGGGGTGGTTCTCAAAGGCCTCTGAGAATTCGGAGACAGCGCCAGGGCCATAGTTCAGGGACATGCTCTCAACACCAGCACCGATACCAATATCGATCATGCCAGTCTTGATCTGGTTGGCGACATCGACGGTAGCCTGGAGACCAGAAGAGCACTGTCTGTTGAGGGTTCGGACGGCGATAGATTCAGGGAAACCGGCAACCAAGCTGGCAGCTCGCATCTCGGTTGCGCCGCCACCGGGGGCGAGAACGGTTCCAACGCATAGGTCCTCGACAAGAGCAGGGTTGATCTTTGAGCGGTCGAGGATGGCCTTGAGAACACCAGCCATGAGATCAGCAGCGGGGGTGTCCTTGAAACCACCGCGGCCTCCCTTGGTGAATGCGCTTCGGCAGGCAGCAGTGACAACGATCTATGTATGGTCAGTAAACTGTATCGGCGCATACGGACGGCAATGCTTGGCAACATACATCGTCAGGGTTCTTCTGGAGGATCTTCTCGCGACCGCCAGCGGTCGGGTTGCCAGAGATCTGGCCTCCAATCTGAATGATTCTGTCGGTGACTGGAAAGACAGTTAGTTCGAGTTTGCGATGATCGCAGTGCGACAAGAAGACATACCACCCATTTTTGCTATGATGTAAGGATGGATAAAAGTGTTTGAGGTGAGGGAGAGATCTGAGTAGGTAGTACTGGGGTATAATGCGCAAAACAGAGGACAGAAGTTTGATTGAGGCGGAGAAAAAGTATAAGAGAGGAAGGATTATTATACAGAGAGAAACCTTGCTAGACCTCGGATGTTGTGCAGGAGTAGAAGTAGACTCGGGCTTGGTCAGCTTTGTCACAGGAGAAGATGGTAAAGAATGGCCGAAGATGGAGACCAGCTAAGAACGGACTTCAAACCGTGAGACCGACCGACCGAGGCATCTCGTCGCCCCAGTCTTGGCGTTGCTAGCGCCTCTTTTTAGTGTCCGATCACATGTTATTTCCCCAGCTTTCAGCGCGGGGGAACTTCTCCAACTGCCTTCACTCTTGCGTCACGCGGTGGCTAGTACAGTAAGAAATACTCCAAAAAATGACGATTTGATCTGAGTCTGATTAGCACGTGGTCCCCCAATTATCACAAGGAAAATAACCGACTCGTTGAAGATTGGCGAACTTGATTCGTGACACCGCCGTTCCCGAATTGGGTATCTATGTAAGAAGACATAATAAGAATTTTAATACAAGACCAACGCCGTTCTACACCAAGGAAAGTAAACAAACAATCAAACAAACAAACAAAGATGATCAACAGGAAATCCCCCAGTCGCGGATTGTTATTTCATACAAGTGTCAAAAGAAGAGGAAAGGCCACCGCAGTCCGAAACTGCCGGACTCCAGGCGGCGCTCCGGTCCTCTTCTTGATATGACTGAGATGCTATCGACAGAGCATCCCAATCCCAAGGTGAACTTGAGTCTTCGCCAGATCCTGAGTCGCCCACGGACTTTGGAACCGAAAGTGAAGTATCGAACGATGTATCTATCCTGATAGAAGGTATCGACGGTACCGTAAGGGCCCGATTACGACCAGTGGTATATTGTTGTGGTACTGGAGGTGTAAGCACATACGGTCCGATAATACCATGAGGTTGCTGCATGTAAGGAGGGCTGATGCCAGTCCATGATAGATATTGGCTTGGAGGTGCAGATTGAGATAACTGTTCTATCTTTGGGTTAGCTACATTCTGACATGAGCTAATCAGTACGACATTCTACCTACCAGTTTCATCAACTAGTTGCAGAGCCTTGAGTGCATCGATGCCAAGCTCAACACTGACACGTTGGTCTGGAAGCTTGCCAAGCCGAATTGACAGTTGCTTTTGAACACTGCCAATTGTTTCAACGTCAATTACATCCAGTTCGCACCAGTGTCGGGCGTCTTTCCAGCGAGGCTTGGGCACTGGATGTATCTTGACGCCCCAGTTGCGAGCAAAGTCGTTATCGACGACACTCGAATCTCGAGTGAGATAGCACTTGGCAATACACGGTACTTCGGTGGTCTGGGTTTTGAGAGTAACTCGGATCATCTGTTCATGTTTGACTCGTGCTGACTGAGTTCTTAGGGGCTGTGCTGGCGTCTGCCAGTTGGGGCCTGATAGCGGAGAAATAGGAGACTGGCCTTGGCTTGGAGGCTCCTCGTCTGTGAAAACGGCGGACTCGTCCACGGATAATCGAGGGAATGTCGAAGAGTCCTGGGAGCCAAGAGGTGGAAATGTTATGCAAGTTTCGGGTTGATTCGTCTGGGTTTGAAAGCCCAGAGGATCAAAGTATCTGTCACTGCTGGCCCGCCGTCGGAATGACTCAATAGTGTGAGAAGTAGTCGACGAACTACTTCGACGCCTCGATCGAGCCTTGGAGATAGGACTGAGTGTAGAGGGCGACCGCGAGCGAGGGGAAGCTTGTCTGATGGCTTCTTCCACACTGAGTTTCAGGCGACCAGGCCTACCAGCCAGAGCTGGGTTTCTTTGTCTGCTCGGCGGAGTCATTGGTAAATGCTAGAGTGTAGACGAAATGGATGTAAGGCAAAGAATAGTGCCTGGGAAAGAGTAAATATCGTTTAAAAAAAACAGGGACCTCGATTCTTAAACAGGAACTAGACACAATGAAGAATGGAGCAGCGGGGGTATGAAATTCAAGCTGATATATGCAACAGGTATATGAGGCTTGATGTCTGAGTAAAATCACCTCTGCTAGGTTTTCCTCGACATCGTGGACAGGCAGCGCAGCAAAAGTGCAGATGTCTGTGGCCAGCCATTGGATTAGACCCTGTAGCAGCACGCTTCTTTATTCCGAGGCATACTGGTCCAATTGTCTGCCTCGATCCTCTTTTCCATCAAACACCCAAAGAATAAGCGTTTTGAGTGGTCTCTGGTGCTTGTCGCTGTGCACAGCCTCGCTTTACCGACATATCGAAGGCGGGCTGTGCTGCTAACGGTGAAATAAAGAGCCGCCTCTGTGCGTTGTGCGACCGAGACTGGCCATGCATGGTTGAAAGCGAGGAACTGCATCTTATCACCTCTGATGAGGCGCGGATGCGAGTTTAAATCACAGTTACATTCCACTTCTGTAACTGTCATCGCCTTGTCACAATCGTGGGCCTTTTCAACCTCAATATGAAAGGCAACCGGATATGGTGTTGTCAGTGCTGCGCCTCAGAGGAGCATAAGTCACCGGGCGTCGGGCTCTGACAGAAACAAGATTCAAAATGACCAGTTTCATAGTAAATGATTACGAAGTGGCATGCCTCATGGAATAACACATTCGCCTTGTCATCGTAATGTATTACGACTCCGAAAGCTGAATGCCGCCCATTTCCGAGTTACCTCAGTGCGGCCAGGACATAAAAATGACCATCTATGCACTCAACAGGTATCAATGAAGACTCAGATTCAATGTTCACCGGAAGTTACTACAGTCAGTATATTGTTGCCATGAATATACCCGCTATTTCTGACTTGCACCACAGGCCTCCTGAAAGCTGGTTTCACAGAATTACAGTTAATCGCATTACAAGTCTTCCAGGTATAAACTTGACTCAAGTCAGGAAAACAATTAGATTGGTCGATTTGATGGCCCCCAAAATTGCTATCAAAGCCTTGTTCATGCGCTGTCCGGTAGATAGGACGGATGTCCAAGAAAACAATGGACAGAGTTGTTACAATGCATTGGTCAAGGTATGAATGCTTCTTCAAATATCTGTTACACGACTTTGAACTAATGTCTTTTAAGGTGCTCATGCCTGGCCAGCTCTATGCCGGAAAAGGAAATAATTATAGTACAGTCCGTTCTGCGGAAGCATCCACGAGAGGGAAATCTCGTAAGAGACAGCTGAAGGATCCTCAGCGGAAGTCCGTCTATGAAGGTCAAGTGCCTCGAGTCTCCGTAGCATCATTTACTATATCCTGTGCTGAAGAGGGATTGAAAAATTCGACATATACATCCCCAGGACACAACGGAACCCAAGAAAAAGGATCTTTAGTCAAGGATGAGATGACCGACACTTGCACAGAAAGGAATACATACGTTCAAAGAAGACTTGATGGAAAGACTGAAGCTTCGCTAGTAGATGGCTTGGAGGAAAGAATACGTTCTCTGGATATTACCTTTGAGGACCAACCCGTGGAAGCCGATATCGAGGAAGCATACATACAGGGAGAAGCCTTGACACCACCCGAAATCAAGTTCTCCGAAGACGGTGATATGGACGACGATTACTGGACTTGGGACCAGAGATCTCAAAGATTCCGACACTGGGATGCGGAACGTGGAGAATGGTTATACTTTCCTGAGAGATTTGATTGAAACGATTTGATAAATCTTAAGCGGGTTGGGATGTGCAACAGCCAACTTTCAGTTGAAGGAGAACTCTAAGACCAGTCACTGTAGAATCCGTTTGTTGTTTAATGTTTTCATGTTTCAATTTCAGCTAAGTACCACACTTCACACTCTGCGCCATATGCTCCTCATTCATACCAATGCTGCTCGTAATCTCATCATTCGTCTCTCCAGATACCTTATCCTTCGAATCAAGCCTTGCTTTCGGGCTTATCCTTGACAGTCTTATCGTCGGGTGAAAAGCTTAGGCTGACGCTGTTCACGCAGTGACGCTCATCTGTGGGCGTGTCAAAGCCCTCGCCCTTGAACACATGTCCAAGGTGACCGCCGCAGTTGGCACATACAATCTCCGTTCGTGCCATACCGAAAGCGCGATCTTCGTGACGGACAACGGCACCGGGGATGCTGTCAAAGTAGGCTGGCCAGCCGCAACCAGAGCTGAACTTGTGGCTCGCCTTATAAAGCGGAGCGTCACAACCAGCGCAGGTATAGACACCCTGTTCAGGATAGTGCTTGTCGAACTTTCCAGAGCCAGGAGGTTCGGTACCCTTCTCACGTAGGATGCGGAATTGCTCTGCGAATGTTAGTTACTGCGCAGAAGAGATGTTAGCAGTGCAAGGACATACCCTTGTTGAGGACAGCCCGCCACTCGTCGTTTGAACGTTGATCAGGGTACGACATATTGGAAGAGTTCTTGGATGAAGTGCCAAATAAAGCGCCCAGCAGAGGAATACCAGACATAGATCGCAGGGGAATAGGTCGAAAGGCCAGGTGTGAAGGCAGAGGAGGTCTCACGCGGGTGATATTTGAGAAAGTGTAGAAGAGTGTTGACAGTAATGGAGAGAAGCGCATTGAGAAGGGAGTTGTTGTATATGGTTATTTATATTTGATTGAAGATGAGTTATCATACCTTGAAGAGAGACGTTATAAGTCCCAGATCTTAGTGGCAACCAGTTGACAAATCATGGGTTGCGAACTGTGGAATCATTTGCATCATCGAATTATTGCTACTAAGCCTACCACAGCCACATCTTGATTATTCCGCTTTACGCTCTTTGTGGCCCAACGGCTCGAGTATTGCGCCTGAATACGCTGGTACAATTCCAAATCCGGTAATTTGATTATTCAACTTTAAGAGAGGATTACTCTAAAAGTTTAAAAAAGTCTTATTTTCTTCGAGTACGATAAGACTTCGGTTTCAGCCCCCATGTTTCGCATCTTACCAAAATGGTTGAGGTCCCAAAGGTTGATTGATAACTGCATTTCAAAATGTGAGACAGGTAAATTCACCTACGAGGATAAGCCATGAGTCTGAGTCTCTTTGAGACAATGGGCAGGCTAAGATAATCAATTAAAATGAAATTTGTTCGACTCGACTCTACTAGTATTCACAAAAGAAATGGATAAGGTAGTTATTGATACAAGCCCGATGAAAGGAAGCCTACCTCAAGCTTCGATCATCCAGTGGCTGGTGCAGTCTTGTAACCCCCCGCCAATTCCAGGGGTCAGGTACCTACCGCGCAGTGTCCAGACCCGCCCCGCCCATGCATTAATTCCGCTGGGCAGCTAAAGGGAACATCACCGACCACCTTGGCACCTCCCTATCAACATTCATCCAATTCTAGGCACACCCTTTTCGAACAGGTTGCCATTTTGCAACAACACTCGTTCAGAGTGACGCTTCGAATCCCTTTACCTCGACTCCCACCACAACTCATAACGAACTTGCTCTGATTTTCATCAATCAGCATCACCATGTCCAGGAGAGCCCCGAACCCCGCTGCTGAGCGGGCGGCGCAAAACCAAGCTACCATCAAGAGTCTCCTCAAGTTGGAGGCCAATAAGGTCTGCTCTGATTGTAAACGAAACAAGCGTATGTATTAGACTGCGAGCTTGCTAGCACATCCCTCTGACCATTTTAGATCCTCGATGGGCTAGCTGGAACCTTGGTGTCTTCATCTGTATCCGATGTTCGGGCATCCATCGTGGCATGGGCACCCACATCAGCCGAGTCAAGTCCGTCGACCTCGATTCTTGGACCGACGAACAACTCCAAAGCGTCTTGAGCTGGGGAAATGCTCGCGCCAATAAATACTGGGAGGCCAAGCTTGCGCCAGGTCATGCCCCCTCTGAAGCCAAGATCGAGAACTTTATCCGAACAAAGTACGAACTCAAGCGATGGGTTATGGACGGCCCTATGCCCGATCCTGCTACTCTAGATGCTGATGGCGACGACGATGTACCCCTCAGCATTGTAAAGGAGAAGCAAGTCATAGAGCGCAAGGAGTCCATCAGAAAGGCGTCTCTAGGCAACTCACAAGCACCGAAATCTATCCCTGCACCTCAGGGAGATCTTATCGGCGGAGACCCTGTCCCTGTGCGATCAAGCAGCGCTGCTCCTCATGCGGCGAAGGTGGCTCCTAAGGCAGAGCCTGCTCCTCCGAGGGCAACAAGTACAAAGGACTCACTACTTGGACTCGACTTCTTTGGCGAGCCCGCGGCTCCTCCTCGACCGGCCAGCACAACTGGTACCGCTCCGAGCGGCCAGTCTCGTCCCGATTTGAAACAATCTATCCTATCTTTATATGCTACTGCGCCTAAACCTCAACCTCCTGCTCAACCTCAGCAACAGTCATCAGCGGGAGGCTTTGGTGGCCTTGCCTCTCCCACTTTCAGCCACCAATCTCAAGGCTCTGTTGGTGGCTTCAACGACGCCTTTGGTGGTCTCAGCATCTCGAATCCCCCTAAGCCCGCCGCTCCCGACCCTTTCGCCAGCCTCAGCTCTGCCAGTCGTACAACATCAAGCAGCAATGCCTTTGGTGGCCTAGGAGGAGGTAGCTTCTTCAACAACAAACCCTCCCAACCCGCTGCCCCTACCCACCAGCAGCAGTCTTCCAACTTCTCGAACTTCGGTGGCTTTTCCTCCCCACCGCCGGCTGCTTCTGCTGCTCCTGTCCCGCCCAAGCCCGCTCAATCCTCCGCTATGGGTGACCTCTTTGATCTTTCTGCACCTGTGACCACATCGCCTCCTCCACCACAACCCGCAGTTGCTTCTACCAACTCCGTCTTCAACCTCTCTTCTCCCCAAAGCCCTCCTGCCGCCGCGCCAACCAGTACGACAACTGCTAACACAGCTGGTTCTATGGGTGGTTTCTCTGGTGCCGATGTTTGGGGCGGAAGTGATTGGGGAGCCCCTGCAGCCCCTGCAGCTCCTGCACCAGCTCCCATCCAGAAAGCCCCTGAACCACCAAAGCCCGCGGCGAGCGATTTTGGCTGGGGCAACACGGGAGGAGCCTTTGCTAACACACCCATCGTCCCTGGGGCATCAGGAGGCTTCAATCCTATTGCATCGCCCAAGGTATCGGCCGATGAGGAGTTCGGAGGATGGACAAGCAGTGGACCTGCTGCTGGTGGCAGTGGTGGCCAAACCAAGCCAAGCGGTGGCTTTGGCGGAGATGAAGACTTGTTCTCCAACGTGTGGCAGTAGGCAGTGAGTTTTGGAAACATCTAGATGACTTTTGGGGCGGAGGTTTCTATAAAACAGTTGCAGGCATGATTGGCGTTTGCATGTTAGGAGTCAAGTAGATGCGAAACAGGATGACTTAAAAAATTGTACGATCATTATGGCATTGGTTCACGTGCGAAGCAATGTGAGTGTATTCAAATAACGCCGGCCCAACGCTGCGAAAACAGTAAAAATCCTGAGACACGACTCCTTAGCCTTTTAGCCGTGGACACTTGGATGCCCTTGATCATCTGTGCATACCACCTGGTAAATATTCGTCTTCCCTTCACGACGGATGCCATGTCCAGCTCATATCTGTATCAAGGGTCTTAGAACAACAGTTTAGCCCCGTAGAATAACACCAAGAAGACGCCAATAACGATTCCCGAGAGTTTGAGAATAGCGACACGGTTGCCTGATGCAGCCATGCGAGTTAAGCGGCCAGCAGAGCCCTTCATCTGTGTGGTCATGGAGGAGAAAGTATCGGACTGGTTGAGGTTAGTAGGCTATAAACTGTCGCTTTCGAAGGGGGTAGACGGACGGTGTTGTCGATGACATCCTGAGCTCGGGCATTATCGTAAATGTCGACTGTCACACCGCGAAGTGCGGAGACCTTTGCAGAGAGCTCATCCAGGCGCGCATTGTTCTGGCGCTCTCGTTCGTAGGCTTCGGACATGATGAAGTTTGGCGGAAGTTAGGGATGGCGAAACAGGGGTTGTCGGCACGGTCTGGCTTTCGATGGGAACAGAATATTTGGTGCGTGTTTGTCGTCGCTTTGCAGAAGACAAGATGTCTTCGTCGTTGCGAAATGTATCCTCGAAATGTCAAGTGCCAAGTTATGAAAGGGGTTCGAGTTCTAATACGAAACCGATAGCCATGACGACCTCCTCGGTCGGCCCCAAAGTCCGCCACGGCCACCTCACGCGGGCGCGTTGGACATTCAGCGGTACGTACTCCAATGCCGATACCGCCACACTTCAGCTAACAGCCACACCTCCATCCACCCAGAAACTGGAGATTTCTCATGCACCCAAGGACGCTGTAAATGTACTATACCCTGGCGCCTAAGGCGGGGCAACATGTTACAGACAAGGCCAGATGAAAGAAAATGGTTGGGCAATCGTAAAAGGCTCCAAGTTCAGTGGATTCGTTGTCAATCACGTTGTCACGTTGTTACTTGAATTGCTGCGCCACAGACATGGAAGCTCCCCATTACGAGGTGCCGTGAATTTGCATTGCCCAACGTCTGCACCTAATAGTGTAGACTTGAGACCACTGCTTTCCCTTCTTTGTAGCTTTGTCGATCCTACAAGTCCTTGTATAATATCGCCGCAGAATATTCTACACTCGTTTGCTTACGTCCACTCCTTGGCATATACCATCGAGGCGCAGCAGTAACTCGTCTGGTGACGACGCAACCCAGACAAGCTGGGTTACTATACCTATCATATCAACCCCACCCATCGCCCTTGTACTGAGAGCTTCTTGGCTCCTCCAACAACAGTTTTCGACTTGCGCGAAGACAACTTTCGATCCCTGTTCCTGTTTGTGCATTGTATCTCTTGAGCTTTGGTTGAGTGTATCAAGATGGGCCTCAACAATCCCCTCCCGTCGTCTATGGCGTGTAAGTTGAACCACCAAATTCCGCACTCATGATCGCGCATCATGGGCTACTCCACCCCTCAATGAAGCGATCAGCTCGAGTGCGAGACATGGCTAACACAGCTCCCCAATAGCGGAATGTAAGAAGTGCGGCAAGATCCTGACTTCTTTCATCAACCCTCGCCAGTCTTTCGGTCCCGACAAGGTCATTCCTCCGTCCATCCTCGCCAATGCTAAAGGCCTTGCCATCATCACTGTTCTCAAGGCCGGCTTCCTCGGCTCAGGCCGTTTTGGCAGCGGTCTCGTCGTCGCCCGACTTCCCGAGGGTGGTTGGAGCGCTCCGAGCGCTATTGCGACCGCCGGAGCCGGCTTCGGTGGTCAAGTTGGTTTCGAATTGACCGATTTTGTCTTTATCCTAAACGATTCGAGCGCCGTCCGGTCCTTTGCCCAAGCTGGCTCTTTGACACTAGGTGGCAATGTCTCTTTGGCAGCTGGACCCGTTGGTCGCAATGCCGAAGCAGCCGGCGCTGCATCGCTGAAAGGTGTCGCCGGTATCTTCAGTTACTCCAAGACCAAGGGTCTCTTTGCTGGTGTTTCCCTTGAGGGATCTGCTATTATTGAGCGCCGTGATGCTAATGAGAAGATGTACGGCCAGCGCTTCACAGCGCAGCAGCTCCTTACCGGTTCTGTGAGGCCACCTCCTCAAGCTGCCCCTCTCATGAATATCCTTAACTCGCGCGTTTTCAATGGTATGAGAGGCGGTGGTGACGACGCCATGTACAACGACATTCCTGTATACGACGATCAGCACGACGACGTTGTGTGGAACGGTCGCCGAGGATCGGCGATGGGTGAGGGCGTGCAGCGCGATCGTACAGGCTCAGGCTCATACGATGATAGCTTCGGACGACCCAGCCGTTCGAACACATGGCAGGACGATGTATACGACAGACCAGGCGGTTTTGGCGGGCCCACACGTTCTAGCACATTTGCTTCTGGTGGTGGAGCGAACAACGACTACGTTTACAGTGACAATCCCACAGGAGGCTCGGGAGGGTTCGGCGCCGAGAAGAAGGCTGGCCCTGGACGGCCAGCGGCTCCCAAGCCCAACTTTGGCGCCAAACAAGCAATGCTTAAGAAGAACGAGGCAGTTGCTGTGTACAACTTTGACGCGGATCAACCAGGTGATCTGGGTTTCAAGAAGGGCGATGTCATCACCGTTTTAAAGCGAACCGAGAGCGATAACGACTGGTGGTATGTATTCAACGCGAATTGCTTAAACACCGCCGCAATAACTAACAGCGTCTAGGACCGGACAAATTGGCACAAGAACGGGCATCTTCCCCAGTAACTATGTCAAGATGAAGGAGTAACGGTTGTTATCTTTTGTATCGATTTAAATACCCTTTAGGCACGTTTCGGATGGATACCTTATGAATACGACGACTTTTTTTGTCTTACGTCTATCTTGGAAAATGGCAGCTGTAAAAGACTGTACAGTTCTACACATCATATGTCCTTCACAAGCTTTTGAATCATAAAAACCCACACATTTGTAGCAGATGGAAATTTTGTCACACCCAAGGCTTTACTAAACGGTGTATTGGCTCATGGACCCTAGCCATTACATGGAGGCGTGTTGGCTAGTAGATATCTAAGCTCATGGTGTCTCCATCAGATCTATCAAACCGACACATCGAACATTCCCAACTCGAGCTTTAGGAACCTAACATAGATACGGCTTTGGAATAGCTGTTCTCATAGTTAAAAAGAAATAAGGCTCAGTAGGCGCACATGACAGCTCGGCACCATAACAGAAACCGTGTGAAGACTTGCCAGATCAGAAAATACTGCAGTAAAAGTATTCACGGCTCCACATAGATGTAGAGATAGTGAAATTATGTACGTTATAGCTGACCGTTCATACGCAATCTAGTTAACTCTATGATGGCCAGTTGGGGATGAGCGGTACCCTTTAAAATAAATTGAGAAGTTTGTACATGCCAGGCTCAATGTTGACGACAAACGGCATCCCAAGTCTGGGATCACAATGAATACGCTCTCGTGACCAGTGGCCTTCTCACCTGAGGCAGATTCCTAGCCCTCATTACGTCCAAGCAGTGATTTCGTCGCCGAGGGGCATCAAAACTTGAGCCTTTGCCGGGCATTTGCAACAGAGCTCACACAAGGCCTTAGAAAGATATACTTGGAATTTATCTAGTGCCATGTATTAATCAACCGTTCTGTAAATGCTGGAAGAGGCTCACTTTGTGATCTCAGTCCGTAGACCAGTAACAGGTAGATCCTCAGATTTGAGTTGTGAACTATGATTGCCTTTGAACTTGAGAGTGTATTAACAAAAGCTTCAATGAGAAACGCAATCAATCAAGGGTATTTGCAAGTAATACAGCCTTGAAATACACCAACTGTGGCAGGACTACACTGATTTTGAACTAGGTGCTTGACCAGGGGTGCTTGCGAATGACGTGCCAGGCTAACTCTTGGGGTGTATTTATGACCTGGATGATGTAGAAAGCCCTCGCAAGTTCCCCATTAGCGTTCTCGATCTCTTGGATTCGCTGGTTGATAACGTCCCGTATATCTTTGTGAAACCTGGTCCAGAGCCTGAGTCTGTTTTGACCTCCATGCTTGCCCATATTGCGAGAAAGACGACTAACAATCATAATGTCGCTGCCCCTCTTCTCGGACCATTCCAATGTGTGTTGACCACCGGGACACTGGCTGGTGTTTCGACAGAGACGGAAATCCTTGTCGGTCGTCTCCTGGGTATTGCTGAGACGGATATCTTTAAAGAGGTTCCTCAGGCCTCGCTTTCGACAGAACCAGCCAGAACGACTAGTAGGCCGCTTGCTCATGCCTATAATTGTATAATTAGAATACATATATGCACTATGGTAACACATGTGAAGTTATAACTTACGTTCAGTGGACTCGCGTATTCGTTTCGCCCGGATGTCAAGCAGTTTCTCGATATCAATGCTGGGGAACTTGTCCAACACCCGTTGCATCTCGGGACTGTGGATTATCTCTCGGTCGCTGGGACTGGGGCCAGGGTTTGTAAAGGTTGTAAGGATATTTGGGTCTTCAATGCTTAGTAGGACTGTGTCTGATATCGACATCGTGGCAGTTAGGATGAATGCAGTACAGAAAGAAATGCAGCTCAATTCTAACCAATGGGAATACGTGGAGTTTTCGCAGGAATACTGAGCCCCGTGAACAAGTTTGGCATTAAGTGGCGCCTTGATGCTGTGATAAGTTCGATGGACAGGACATGAAGGGGTTCGGTCGGTTGTTAAACGGGGGAGGTAGTTGTGGTTGATACAATTCATTATTAGGAACGGTGACTCAGCCTCAACAGTAAATCAGCAGTCCGCCTACCTGCAAGAACTTAAACTCCCGTCATATAGTCAAATGTTCGAGTTTCCTTCCTTTAACCTTCAACTATCCGCTCATATGGCAGGTAACTCGCCAATCAGTCGTCACTGCCCGCTGACCATGACTTGAAACTTTGCATACCAGAAGTCTCTGCGTCTTTCCCATAGTTGCTTTGAATAGAACTGTGCAAGCAAAGCTGCATCGCCGCCCCTGGCAACATCCTCTTCGAACTGTTCAACCAACGGGGTTGTTGCTTGATTCAAATCCTTCAACGTGTTGTAGTCACTAAGTATAACCCATGGTAGGAGCTCCACACCCGAGGTTTCTTGTCTTGATTCTGGGGACCTCTGGGAGCTAGTTGAAACTTTTGGGCTTTTTGGGATGGTTGTCTGACATTCTGCGTCCTTGTACATATCATCTTTGGCTTTCACACTCGCAAATGTACCCACCGATTTAGAGCTGGGATGATGATCTTCAAAACTGCTAGTTGCATTAGAATAATCATCAGTGTTTTCTGACGCAAGAACCCTGTCATTCTTCTGGTTTAGCCTCTTATTTGTGGTGTTGTACGCGGTTTCGGTGCTTTGGCCTTTCCCTGAATTGGTTGGATCTCTCCTTAAAGATCGGCTTGGGGAACTCCTGGGTTTTCTAGAGTCGGAGGAATTCTCAAGCCCTGATCGTATACCTATATGCGCCTCAGGCTTCTTATATGGTACGGCGGTCTTTGCGCGTGAATCAAATGGCAACTGTCTGGGTCGAGGCATCTGTTTGCGAAAGTCCTGGTCTTGCAACGGCTGTTGACGGTACGGTTCGGGCGAAAGGTCTTTTGTCAAGTCTGCACGCGTATTACACCTCTTGGTATCAACATCCGAGCGACTTTCAAAAGAGTCGACTTCAGGACTTCCACGAACTGAGAGACTCTGTGCATGGGAGCCTGTGGTGGACACACTTGGATGCATAGCCATGTCGGCCCTACCGATGGGTGACTGTGTCGGAGGCGGGCTCGAGTTGAAGGAGTACCTCAAAGGCGACCCAACGCGAGGTATATGTGAGAGTGTGCCGTCTCTTTCAAGGAACATGTGGTATGGGTTGAGTTGTGCCGTCCCTGGACTAGTATGCCGCATTTGAGTCCCTGGAAGATAGTGTTGCATTGGTATTGACTGCGCTCTTTGTGTCTGTTCCATGTACGAGGTTGAAACAGTCAAAAATGGCGAATGCTGAGAAGGAGCGTCCAACATGGTGGTGAACGAGAAGTCAGGTGAAGCACCAGTTCCTTGGAAATGATTCGGAGGCAATAAAGTCGGCGGTGTGATTGAAGATAGTCGTGGCCTTGTGTCAAACATGGCATCGTGTGTTTGAGATACATGCTGAGGAGAAGCTGTTAGAAGAGATGCTGGTATTGCCTCGCTAGCGAAGAACCCAGCCTTCTGCAGCAAGCATAAAGCAACACTGAAATCTCTCCTGCTCTCAAACTGCGCGAGGAGGGCTTGCGGCTTCTTGGGTACAGATACACAGATTCGATTAGTTTCCTTATTGATGCTGATGACCTCTGCAGAGGACGATGGTCCTCCTCTTATTTCACTGAGTCGAAGGGAAACCTAGCCTATTAGCCTCCCACTCGAGCCCAGAAGCACCAGTCCATACCACTTGCTGTTTGCCTTTATGAATCAAAAGAACCAAAATTCCTATCTCTGATCCGATCGGCCTTTCACCCTCGATCGTCAAAGTGAAGGCACTGTGTGGGTGGCAAGAGTTGTAAGCTTTGGCATTTGCTCCATCGCGGATCTCTAAGTAAACGAGTGGGCACGCGGACACAGGAGTCGGGGGACCAGGCATGATAGAACTCAAAAATGGAAGACTGCATAGGTAGGTACTCTGCAGAGTAATGAGATAAGGTTCTGATCGAGTTTGGGTTGAAGTTCGCAGAGACAAAGTCTTATGCACGTTGTGCTACCTTAGTAGGTACTAGGTATGCAATCGGTCTCTAACTTGAGGACTTGGTTTCTCCTTCCACTTCGAAGCACTTAATAAATATCTGAGGTAGGAGGCAGATACTACCTACCCCGACAGGCCAGCCTCCTTCTTGCCTACTATGTAAGCAAAAATATATAAATCCATATCAAGAATATACCTAATGAATTCGATTTTGGCAGAGAATTTGAGGTTCAAGGAATGGATAGGTACCTACCTGTAAGTACCTACCGAACAAGAGAACTTCCACCGGGCGCGGAGGTTGTGACTAAGGGTCACGTGGAGATAAGCTAGCGCAATCTTACCCCCAAGGACTTCGACGCGCCGCGCCAAACCAAACTATCAGCGACTGACCCATGCGATTTGAGAATCGTGGATCAAACTGCAAGCACCCACGGTATCTCTAAAACCAGCCAACTATCGATACAAAGGCCATTGAAGCCTTTCAGACGCTGGGTGGAAGCGCCTATCTGTGGGATCTTTTCGTGACCGCACGATATTCAACGCAGCTCGACGACAAGAGACCTCTCCCCCTTCCTCGCGACTGCGCATCTCGTATCCTGTTTCTATCCACCCGCGCACAATCAGTTCATCGTCCGATCTCTCAATATGGCGCCCGTTCGCAATGAGGTGCCGCCGCACACAATAGATCGCACGCCCGAATACGAGGACTTCATGTCGCGACTCCGTGATTATCACTCCAAGCGAGGAACGACACTCGATCCAGAGCCCAAGGTCGGCGCAACGCATGTTGACTTGTTCAAGGTCTTCAATCACGTCGTGGAGAGCGGTGGTTATGACAAGATCTCGGAGGAGAAGCTAGCATGGAGACGTATGGCGTCAGAGCTGGGCATATATTCTAACAATGAAGCCTCCACTGCCTTCTCGTTGAAGGAGAAGTTCTATAAGAACTTGGCTGCGTTTGAGATCAGCACAGTACATGGAAAGGAGCCTCCACCAAAGGATATTCTGGAGGATGTGACGGCTAAAGGCGCTGGGTTGTTGT